AAAACAGAAGTACCATTTAACCTAGCAATCCCATTATTGAGCATATACCCACAGGAACATAAATCGTTCTGTCACAAGACACATGCACACATATGTTCACTGCAGCACTATTCACATTAGCAAAGTCATGGAATCAACCTACATGCCCATCAATGGTAGACTGGATAAAGAAAATATGGTACATATACACCATGGAATACTATAGCCATAGAAAAGAATGAGCTCATTTCCTTTGCAGCAACATAGATAAAGCTGGAGGCCATAATCGTAAGCAGATTAATGTCAGGGAAAAGAAAACCAAATACTTGTTCTCACTTATAAGTGAGCTAAACTCTCACTTATAAGTGGGAGCTAAACCTTGAGTCCACGTGAACACAAAGAAGGGAACAACAGACACCAAGGCCTACTTGAGGGTGGAGGGTGGGGAGAAGGAGAGTGTCTGGCTTTGAAAATGATTTCTTTGGGAAACTGAAAATAACTGTTTTTTGTTTTGTTTTGTTTTGTTTCACCATAAAAGTCCTAATTTCATTAGGTGTGGGAAATTTCATGGTGAGGCCTGTCTTTTGCTGTGAACTTTGTCCCAGTGTACTTGTTCTTCTATTTTAAAAAGGTTATTTCCTACTTGAACTTGATTCTCCTCTTTTAGCAGGAAAGTTCTCTTGTGTGTGGGAAATCTTAATAAAAAATTTTGTTATAAAACCATGGAGAAATAATAATTATTTCTTTATAATTTATCTGTTCTTTTTTGTTGTCTAATTTCAAATTATGAGAATCAGGCTTTGAATCTCAAACATTTGGTTTCCTAAGTCTTTTTAAAATGTTTAAAAAAATTTTTTAGAATAGTTTTATCTTTGCAGTTCCTATATTTGATAATTGCCAAATAAACATTATTTTTACTTAAGCCTATAACATTTATCAACAATTCTCTTTTTATTGCATTAAACCAAAAATTATTTATTTCAGTGTAATATAGAAGAAAATGATTGGATTTTGAAATAAGCAGAGAGAGTATAGGAGATAATTAGAATTGGATTAGATTCATTCTTTTCCAGAAATGTTCTTAGAAAGTACTATAATTTATCTGCTTTTGCTGAACTGAATACTAGAGCAACTCCTGGGCCAGTTACTTCAATGGCTTGCTTTTCTGCTAATCTTCAACAAGGTTATTGCTATGAGTTCAGCTTTCCATGAAAGTATTTGGAAGTCCACTAATATAGTAATGAAACTAAATTGTTAAATCCAACATTTACTTAAATTGGTTAGAAATGTTGCATATTTAACTTTCTGTCTGAGAAAAGTTCATGCCTGGTGAAAAAGGAGAATTAAAACTATGTATATAATTCTGTAAATGTTTTTATACTGTTACAGAATGGCTTGTGTTACTCTTGTTAAGTACCTTATTTCCTGGATTTTCAGTTATTTTTGAATCAGATATATTACCTGATGATTTGCTCAATTTTCAATAAAAATAGGATCATTAGCATATTAATTTCTTTGTTATATTTATACACAATATTTTAATAATCAGTGTGAACTGCCTCAGCAACCCGATTTGCTCTAAGAAAATGAGATTTGTGTTTACAGTGTCAGCTATAATCTGATTTTCAGTTTGTCTGAACCCAGTGTTTAACACAATTTGAAGTTCACTACTCAATTCTCTAGAGGTTCGGCAGAACATAGAAATGAAGTTTGGGGCATACAATCGCAAAGAGATTTGGCTGGGAATGCGAATTTTTCTACTTTAAAATTTTTCAGGTTGGGCACGGTGGCTCACGCCTGTAATCCTAGAATTTAGGAAGGCCAAGGCAGGAGGATTGCTTGAAGCCAGGAGTTTGAGACCACCCTGGGCAACATTCCAAGACCCAGTCTCTATAATAAACTAAAACAATTAGCTGAGTGTGGTGGCTCATGCCTGTGGCCCCAGCTACTCCGGAGGCTGAGACAGGAAGATTGCCTGAACCCAGGAGGTTGAGGCTGCAATGAGCTATGATCACACCACTGAACTCTAGCCTGGGCTACAGAGTGAGGCCCTGTCTCTAAATGGTATTAAATTAATAAACAAATACAGGAAAAGAATAAATTTCTCAGAGGCCAATAACTTACTCCTCCCATCCCCTCACCTCCAACCCTGGACACTTAAAAATTTCTTGTTACTAAGATGTCCCTAACAGAGATTAGTCTATTCATACCTTTGGGCCAAATTTCCTCCCCACTTCTAATTTGGTAGTAACCTAGACCTGAGTCAAGATCAGCTTCTTGTAAAGATGGGTTTGCAGGGTAATATGACCCTTGATGCTTTCTACTTCGATGGCTGGTCCTTGAATATTTAGAGGTGATAGGCTCAATTAACTATTAATACCAGCTCCTGCTCTGCTTGTTACTTTATCTCCACTGAGAGGCCGCTTTCATACTGAGGGCTACTCAGGGCATTAGCCAGGGGAAACTGATCTAGAAGTTGACACATGGCTATCTGGAATGTGATGAAAATTTCTCTCTCTCTCTCTCTACTTTCCTATAGTGAGACTGGGATATCTCATTCCCAATATCCCATGAGATTAAGACAATCTTTGGTCAAATAAAGAGATGGAAACTTGATTAGCATAATAACACAGGAAAATTGTGGAGATGACAGTTTATCTTGCAGATGGTCCACTCTTAACAAAGGGAAGGATTTAAAGCTTTCTCCTACAAATACACGGTAAGAACATGCTAATCCTCAGTCTCACTATAGGGTCAGGGGCAATGAGCCCTTCATGAGCGCAACAGGGACACCTAGGCCAGAGAGATAGAAAAGATCAGGGAAATCATGGGTTTTGGGGAGGTGAGAAAAAGGAGGGACCAGCGAGAAGGGATTTCTGAAGTGGATTCTGTAGGGACTGAAGTGCACCCTATGGAAAAGATAAAGAGGTATTTTTAACTACTTTCTGGGGTAGTGTACATTCATGATCAGTAAGTTGGTTTCATTTCTGATATAGAACTGCACCTGTACATACTTGTAGCCATTGTAGGCAAAACTGAGGTTAAATGGTTAAATACAAATATGGGAAATTCTTGCCCTGGTTGAAAACCGAAGCTACTGATAGGACCCATGTTTTTTGGGTTTTTTTGGTGGTGGAGTAGCAACTCTGGAGTCAATATCAACAAGTTTTCTTATGTGAGTCAAGAACTCAATTAATTCCTTTTTGTTTTTGAAAAATCACATTTGGAAAATGTGTTTTGTAGATAGTCGGGATCCGTAATCAGATTATGCAATAGGTAAATAGTGTAGAAGACTCATCCCAGATTTCAAGGAGAAATTCTCCTTCTGGGGATTGTCTATCAGTCTAGGAGCAAAAGTATAATAGGTCTGCTTGAAGCCATCCCTAAGCCAATGTGGCCTAAAATGTAGTTTCTGGAATAAATTCATCAGGAATACCACATGTATTTATTAAAATGCATATCCCTGGACCCTAAACTAGAGGCCAGGAATATACATTCTTGCTGATTACTCATGCTCAGTATGTCTGAGAACCTCTGCTAAAGCAATGCTGATCAGGTTTACCCCATGTTCACCCACTTCCCTTCTCCCATTTCCCATCTCTCAATACAATCAGCCTTACTTTAAGGAGATCCTTGTGTGTCTGTGAACTTCTGGATGGTGAAAATGGTGATTCTCATGTTTGCTGTGATTTCTAACATCTATAATTGTGCCTTCCAGATACAAGAGTATTTGATGAGGATTTGTTGAACTAGTTGAATTAAATTGAGAACTAGGCCGGGCGCGGTGGCTCACGCCTGTAATCCCAGCACTTTGGGAGGCCGAGGCGGGTGGATCACGAGGTCAGGAGATCCAGACCATCCTGGCTAACACGGTGAAACCCCGTCTCTACTAAAAATGCAAAAAATTAGCCGGGCGAGGCGGCGGGTGCCTGTAGTCCCAGCTACTCGGGAGGCTGAGGCAGGAGAATGGCGTGAACCCGGGAGGAGGAGCTTGCAGTGAGCCGAGCTCGCGCCACTGCACTCCAGCCTGGGCGACTAAGCGAGACTCTGTCTCAAAAAAAAAAAAAAATTGAGAACTAGCATTACAGTCATACTCATGAGACAGCTAGAGCTATTTGTCTGAGTCCTGCTGTACCAGAACAGTAAGAACTAAAGACCGAAGTCTTCCTCACAGTTAGTGCCTAGCTGCTCCCTTTGAGTGGGAAATAGTTTATTTGAGGGGGTTGAGTGGAAAAGGAATATGATCTGATTTCTTTTATTCCATTAATTATAGGGCAGATTTCCGTTGCCCATTCTCCATTATTCCTGCCAGTGTTTTGCACTGTTCACAGCACATTGGTACAATCATAACAGAAGATTGTATTTTGCTTTGGTTTTAGTCTTGTTCCTAAGGGAAAAATCAGTGTTGTGTTTTTTCCCAGGGAGATGCTGTACCAGGACACTTTTCCCAAAGGACTGCAGCTTTGATTCACCCATTTTTAATTTTTTTTTATTGCTTTAGTTTTATTTCCTTTCTATCCTTGCTAATGTTAATAAAATGCATGCCATAAAGAAATCAACTCCTGAGGACATGAAAGGACAGACCTCATGGCTATTTACTCTGCTGACGGCTCCTGCTCTTTAGCTCCTGCTAAAGACCCGCGCATTCACCAGTTTGAAACTGGCCCTCTGTGACAGCTTTCTGCTCACAATAGAGCTGCATACTAAACGGGGTCGGTGCCGCCCCTCCCTTGCAGTGTGACAAATCTCTGGTAAGAGGATAATGCTAAGTTCTTTCACCATCTGTCTAGTTTTGTTTTCTTCCCTCCCCTACTGCTACCAGAAATGTCTAAAAACACAGTATTCTACAGCTGCGTGGTTTACGTGACGATTGCTGTCCGAAGGGAAAACATGCAGTGTTTGCTCCTGAACATTTCCTTTAATTTGTTTCCTTCCAATACAAACATTATAGTATACAGTCAAATGCATGAACTTGAACTTGAGTTTGTCACCTAGAACACTACTTGGGATCGGACTTTACCTGGATGACACTTAATAAACTTTTATTGTTTTCTTACTGGGAATCTTTACAAATTCTCATCAGAGACCACAGGAGGGACGTCATCAGTAGAGAAAACTGGGGCTTCTGGTAAACATCCTGGAGGGTCCTTGACCTCTTGGGGAGGATGGGGACTCCGCTCAGCTTCCAGCTGCTGAATCTTCCTTTCCTTTTCCTCCAAAACTTCTTTCAGCTGAGTGATCCTCTCAGTCTGAAGGGAAACCTGGGTCGACAGTTCCATTATCAGGCTAATTTTTCTATCACCTTCTTCCACAGGTGGGAGACCTCCACAGAACCCTTCCAGCGAGCTGTCTTCTAAAGCAAACAAGAAAAGGAAAGTCTGAGAAGTTTTGATTAGATTTCCCAGAAGCTGAAGAGAGGAAAAATGAAAAAGCTTCATTTCTCACGTTCTTAAAAGAGAGCACAGATGTTGCGTCATCTGGTTAGATACCCTGAGAATAAAATCTGGATCCAGTGAGAGGAAAGATTCTGGGTGCTCATGAAAAAAGAAACAAAACAAAACTTGGGAGCCTCTTGAGAGTGTTCAGAATCAGCCTTTGCCAACTCTTGTTTATATGCATTTAACTTTCAATTAACCATGGGAATGATTCATCCATCCATGAAAATCCAATCTACAAACAACAGCCATCCCAAATTTCATATTATTCTTTTCCCTCAGAATCTTTCACAAGAGCTATGATCGAGTAGAATTATGCTTTGATTTGAATTTTAATTCAATTAAAATAAAAAATGAGATTTGGGCACAGAGGCTCACACCTGTAATCCCAGCACTTTGGGAGGCAGAGGCAGGCGGATCACAAAGTCAGGAGATCGAGACCATCCTGGCTAACACGGTGAAATCCCGTCTCTACTAAAAATACAAAAAATTAGCCAGGCGTGGTGGCAGGTGCCTTTAGTCCCAGCTACTCGGGAGTCTGAGGCAGGAGAATGGCATGATCCTGGAAGGCAGAGTTTGCAGTGAGCGGAGATCATGCTACCGCACTTCAGCCTGGGCGACAGAGCAAGACTCCGTCTCTAAATAAATAAATAAATGAATAGCGAAAAGTTTGCCATGCCCTTTCTGGGGCAAGCGATAATGAAGAAAGACCAGTTTCTTAACCCAAGTCAGCTTTAAAGTCGGCAAGGGTGCAATTTGAGGTGATCCAGGAAAACTCTATTAGCATGGTATTTCCCATACAGATTCATTTCTTTTAGGCCTGAAGTCTTTTTGGCACTTCTTAATAAAATCACAAATACCTCTTGGACATGAAAGCTTATCCTTTATCAATTTCTATCAGTTAACCCCTCAGATGAGGATAAAGGCCTGAGTAATTAAGGACAGAAGTTCCAACAAAGAGATAAAAGATGAGTGGCCATAAGGAGTCCTTGAAAACACACCTCTCTAGCCCATCAAAAAATGTAGCTCCTTAAACTCAAGTCCATCTTACTAGCCTTTAGCAGTACCCTACCACTGTAGAAATTTCCAGCATTAAATGTCTCTGAGCTATATAAAAGGCAGACTTAGGTGTAAGTAGGAAGAGATGTCAAGGGCTTGGGTATTATTTCAGCACTAATGGAGCTAATGGCATGTATGAATGAACCTGATGCATGGTCTCCATGGTAGATTGTTACAATTGAGGTCCTGAATTTATGAGATTCCCAGTGAAAATAAATCTCACGGCTTCACCTGAGAGAAACATTACTGTCAGTCTCAGATACAAAAGCCTGCTATTATTAGGTTCCTACACACCTGCTGAAAATGGACCACCTTTGCTGTAGTAGTGCATGCAGGCAAAAGAGCATAAAAATAACCCATTTCTCAACAAATAAAATTAATTGACAGTCATCACGTTCCCAAGGGATCAAGGGGTAAAATCTTTGGCAGCACATTGCATAGTGGGCAGGGTGGTTTTGGCTTCACAAAAGTGTTAAGAGGAGACAGACATCAAGCTATTCTCTGCTCTTAGAAATTATTGGCACCTTACTAACATTTAAGAACCCGTGGGGAAATTTTTGTTCTGAATTTCTGTTAGAATATTTAAAATTATAACAATATTTAAGATATTGGTTTGAAGGTGGGGCACGGTGGCTCACACCTGTAATCCCAGCACTTTGGGAGGCTGAAGCAGGTGGATCACTTGAGATCAGAAGTTCAAGACCAGCCTGGCCAAATAGTGAAACTTCATCTCTACTAAAAACACAAATATTAGCTACGTGTGGTGGTGCACACCTGTAATCCCAGCTACTCAAGAGGCTGAGGCTCAAGAATCGCTTGAACCCGGGAGGTGGAGGTTGCAGTGAGCTGAGATTGCGCCACAGCACTCCAGCCTGGGCAACAGAGTGAGACTCCATTTCAAAAAAAAAAAAAAAAAAGATGTTGGTTTCAGTACCTTTCATAAGTTAACAAGCAATGGGAAAACATCTCAAATTTCAAAAGAGCATTCAGTTCATTGCCTCTGGGATAAGCCTGTGTTTTCCAGCCTAGGAGAGGGAGTCCATATGGCAGGAGGCCTTTCTCATCTCCAGATATGCCAAAGTCTCACCTTTCCTTTCATTTGGCTGGAGCTGTGCTGTCCAATACAATAGTCACTAGTCACATGTGACCATTAAGCAATGGAATGTAGCTAGTCTGAATAGAGATGTGCTTTAACGTAAAATACACAGTTGACTGGAAGATTTTAGTTTAAAAAATGTTAAATACTTCAAATTTTCTATATTGCTTATGCATTAACATATTTAGAATATATTGTATTAAAGAAAATGTATTTTTAAAATAATTTCACTGACTTATTTTTATGTTTTAAAAAATGTGGCTCCTAAAAAATGTAAAATACATGGCTTGCATTTGTGGCTCCCATTATATTTCTGTTGGATAATGTGTTGGGCTAGCATTTCCTTCCAGATGAGCACTTTCTGAAACCCAGGTGGATATATTACCTGGAGATGGCTCTAGTTAACCTGCACAGATATTATTTGAGAGGGAGGATTTCTGGTCCTCAACCATTGGCACAGAGATCATTTTTCTGTCACCCCAGAGGATGGAGTCATGGAAATGAAAGTTTGATAAAAAGTGATGACTGCCAATTAATTTTATTTACCGAGGAATGGGTGATTTCTTGCCTGAATGCACTACCACAGCAAAGCTGCACCACCTTAAGCAGGTGTGTAGGTATCCAGGTAGCAGGCTTTTGTATCTGTGACTGACAGTGATGTTTCTCTCAGTCCCTAAGCTACTCCTTAAACTACATAAGAAACTGATTCAGATGGGTTGAAGCGAGTTTCATCAGGAGTGGGAGAAGAAAAATGGCAGCAAAGTAGCCAGGGAAGATGCCAAGGAGGGGAGCAGTGAGCAGCAGGGGATGCAGGGCCTCAGCAGGGGGCAGGGGGCAGGGGTGGAGGGGGGTGCATTGGAGCCTCACTGTGCCTGTCTGACATCTTCCTCTTTGACTTCTCCTTCCATGTTTTCTCTCCCCAGTTTTTCCTCTGCTTTTAGAATGAGTTGTTTTTAGTGGATGTGTACAATGAAGAAAAAGGAGTTTAGTGCCACCCCTGGTCAAACTGGTCAAAAAGTTTTTAGACAATGCAATATAGGTAGAGTTCATCCAGCTCTAATGATACAGCAGCAAAAATGCAGCAAAGTGGCATTGCATAGGCAGTCAGGGTCACTAGCACCACATCCTCCTTCTGGAAGAGAGTATTACAGCGAGACAGTAGAAAGAAAATGAGAGGAGAAGCGAGTGTCTAGGCAGCTCGGGCTGTTATCACAAAGTACCACAGATGGGGTGGCTTAAACAAGAAACATTTATTTTTTATAGTTCTGGGGGCTGCAAGTCTCAGATCAGGGTGTCAGGATGGTCAGGTTCTTGTGAGGACTCTCTTCCTGGCCACCTTTATGCTGCGTCCTTATGAGAGGTGACAACGTGCTAGCAGCCCTCACTCTCAGCACTTCCTCAGCCTCAGCGTCCACTCTGGTTGCGCTTGAGGAGCCCTTCAGCCTGCCACGGCACCGTGGGAGCCCCTCTCTGGGCTGGCTGAGGCCGGAGCCTCCTCCCTCTGCTTGCCGGGAGGTGTGGAAGGAGAGGCGCAGGCGGGAACCGGGGCTATGCAGGGCACTCGCCGGCCAGTGCGAGTTCCGGCGGGCGGGGCACAGGCTCGCCGGGCCCTGCACACGGAGCTGCCGGCCGGTGGTGCCCGCCAAGGGCAGTGAGGGGCTTAGCACCCAGGCCAGTAGCTGCTGAGGTTGCACCAGGTCCCCCAGCAGGGCCGGCCCACCAGCACTGCACTCAAATTCTCAAATTCTCGCAGGGTTAAGCTGCCTCCCCGCGGGGCAGGGCTCGGGATCTGCAGCCCGCCATGTCTGAACTACACCCTGCGGTGGGCTCCCGTGCTGAGCCTCCCCGACGGGTGCCGCCCCCTGCTCCACGGCGCCTGGTCCCATGGACAGCCCAAGGGCTGAGGAGTGCACGTGCAGCTCGGGACTGGTGGGCAGCTCCGGGTGCAGGATCCAGTGGGTGAAGCCAGCTGGGCTCCTGAACCGGATGGGGACTTGGAGAACTTTTATATCTAGACTGAGGATTGTATGTGCACCAATCAGCACTCTGTATCTAGCTTACCTAGTGGGGACTTGGAGAATTTTTCCCTTTAGCACTCTGTGTCTAGCTCAAGGATTGTACATGCACCAATCAGCACTCTGCATCTAGCTCAGGGTTTTTAAATACACCAATTAGTACTCTGTATCTAGCTAACCTAGTGGAGACTTGGAGGACTAGCACTCTGTGACTCTGTGTCTAGCTCAAGGATTGTAAATGCACGAATCAGCACTCTGTCAAAATGGACCAATCAGTTCTCTGTAAAATGGACCAATCAGTAGGATGTGGGTGGGGTCAGATAAGGGAATAAAAGCAGGCTGCCCGAGCCAGGCATGGCAACTCGCTGGAGTGTCCTTCCACTTTGTTGTTTCACTGTTTGCAATAAATCTTGCTGCTATTCACTGTTTGGGCCTACACTGCCTTTATGAGCCATAACACTCACCATGGAGGTCTGCGCTTCGCTCCTGAAGGCAAAGAAACCACGAACCCACCGGGTAGAGTGAACAACCCTGGACGCGCTGCCTATAAGAGCTATAACACTCATCACCAAGGTTTGCAGTTTCACTCCTGATAGTGAGACCATGAACCCACCAGAAGAAAGAAGTTCCAGACACATGTGAATGTCTGAAGGAACAAACTCCAGACACACCATTTTTAAGAACTGTAACACGCACCACGAGGGTCTGCAGCTTCATTCCTGCAGTCAGTGAGAGGAAGAACCCCCCA